GAAGGGGAGAAGTTAGGGGACCGATAATAATTAATTAATAGGGGGAATTCATCGGCGACACTTAATTATACGACTCTAATAATAATAACAAAAAAAAATGACAAGATCAATTTACAGAGAGGCTCACCGTTGGGGGGAAATGGATACACGGGGAAGGGTAATATCGTTAGGATCGGGTGATAGGGTGAGGGTACTCACGATGATGGCGGCCACACGACTCAGCAACGCTTTCTTCCACCAAGTACTTATTCCTCCCTGTCTGTTTTTCCTCCTCCAATTGTTCTCCTCGCCTTTCTCCTTCCTTTCGTCTTCACTCCTGGGTCCTTTCACCAAATCCTCCACACTTCTCTTCACCGTCTCTCCAACACTTTTCACCTCAACACTCTCTCAATTATCCTTTCAAAACTATCTCAATTCTTTTTATAGACCACGCAGCAACTCCGGGGGCAGCTGTATTTCGAGTGATGGCTGCCAATCATCCTCGCTTCTTTTTCCCCGATTATCAACGATAATCGGGGTTAATCGGGGACACTCCTCATTGTCCTCGTCTTTATTATTCATTCCAGGGGGCTCGTTCAAGGATGTTCCTTCTTTTCCGGGTCACGAGAGTAGTGACGTCGAGATGGGGGGTTTTGGCTTCTTCCGTCGTATTGCATGTGGGGACGAGAGGACTGGCGGGTGGGGGGGTTTCTCCTTGTCGCCGGCGATGTCTCTGCTGGCCGTGAGTGTAGTGGTGAGGGAAGCGCGGGGCAAACGGAAAGAATATTTTGGGAGTGAGAGCCAACGGTGACATGTTTCCCAACCTGCTTCCATGTTGTTCCTTAATCCTAATTATTCTAACTTATCCTAAGGAACAAATAAAATGTATAAATTAGGGGGCTGGGGAGGGGCAAAAAAAGTACCTCTTCACAAGGTGTATGGGAAGGATGGCAGTATCTCAGTAGTTCAAATTTATCTCCGCTTTGTGATCAAAACATCTACAGGAGGGTCGACCGGAACGAGTTTAATGTCAGACTTTTGGGTGTGTTGCGTCCCCTAATTGGAGAAGTTAGTTTTTATGAGAGGTTTTCAGGTGGTGCGCTCTTGTCGCCATCCGTACTTTCAATACATGGGCCAAGAGCAATCAGAATTCACGAAGATATAGAAATTTTTTCTTTCGGGTAGAAGAAAAGTGACATTTCTCTTAGTAGTACAATTCATTATTACAAACCTATTATCCCGTCACGGCAAAGATGGTATGAGAGATTTTCCTCCTTTGTCGAGATGGAGCAAATTGAAAAGCGATGTCGGCATTTGATTTCGACTCATTTGTCGATGGCAGCCTTTGAGAAATTTTCCATGGAATAGGCCCGATGAAATGGGGAAACCATTGAAAGAAATACGGGATCAATTCCTCACCACGTCTACGCCGCGGTTCTGAAAACATGACGGAGTGTGCTGGCCACAAAAATTTTGAAAATCAATAAATTAAAAAATTGAAATTTCAAGATTCGAAAAGTAAAAGATAGTACCATTCGGGATCAAGCTGAAAAATTCGAAAAATTTATAAAATTGAAAAGATTTATTAAACTTAGCTGTACATAAAGGTTGATCCGAATCAGGCAATCTGTATCGTCGGAACAATGATGGTGGAGCCTCCAAATTTATAACCAATATTTAATAACAGTCTCGCCATTGATTTTCTATCGCGACGCAAGTGTCAAAACAAACCGTGATCAATCGTCAATATTTCCTGTTTTGGCGACGTAATGTAGATAAATCGAGGACCATTGAGCTTAAAATGAATCATTAAAACCACTTTAAAAGGTTTGAATTCAATAACTGAAACCGCCATTTCAGTGTTGAGCCATTAGTACCAAAATCAATCCAGTCTTGAATTTTGACCAACCTTGAGGAATCTCACCTTGATCCATCTGGTCCTGATAGCTGGTTACGTCAACTGCCTCCAACCGAGGCCAAACCTAACCTAACCAACATATTTCTTTCCTACCTCAGTTGAGGACACATCCATCCAATATTGATCCAATACTCGACCGCCATTGGACCAGCAGTGTGAATCTTAACACTTTGAGTACTTGGCATACTCACAGGTAATCCTAACTTATGTAAGGAATTCCGCAGGAATCCCTTATGTTTGTGAGTATGCGGGGGGCTGAGGGAGGCACCGCGGAAAATCAAAAACATTACATGGGGGAAATTGTAATCGACAGAATCGCGAATTGGGGTGGGTACGTTTTGGGTTTTGGTTGGAAGGCCCTGCGGGGATTGCCACAGTCGCACGCGACACAATTTTAAAGATACGTTTTTGGTTTCGTCTTTTTTTTGTTGTTTTGGCCCGATTATAATTTTTTGGGGCTCGGTAAACCATTACCGCGAGAAAACAAAAAAAAAGAGTAGCGCCGGAAAAATGAAAAATTGTTTTACCGTCCGGACGGTTAGTCACTGCGCCATCTAGGCGCCCGGGGCGAAGCCCGTACTCAGGGCCACGCGACAACCACCTGTGGCGCATAATCGAAGGTTATCGCCGGCAACACATGTGCGCCCACAAAAAGCCACGAGCACGTCGGGTTTTTTTTGAGGAGAGACGTTTTGTGTTTTCGGTGTTTTTGTGCATAGTTTGGAGGGTGTCGAACTCCCGTGGACGTCCCCAAACACCCCGGAGGAGCCCAGGAATATCAGAAGGAAAAGGCGAAGGAAAATCAAAAAGACTCGGTGAGCGTACATGTATTAGTAATGGTGGGTTTCATGGTGGGTTTCGTGGTGGGTTTTGCTTTCAGAATTTTCCTCTCACGGCGGTTTTCTTCCAAGCCCCTCGCGAATATTTAAGGGTAGGATTAATGTGGAAAAGCGGGAGAGGGATGTGGGAGTAATCCCGGTGTGTTTTCGTGGTTTTTTTTTTGCGTAAAACGCCATGCCACTGGCCGATAAATATTCCACGGGGAATATTACATTTCCTTTCGTCTCTTCCTTTTATTGGGTTCTCCTCGTCGCGATAATTGAGAAATGGCGTTTCGAACACGGCAGAACAATTCGGAGAATTACTTTAGGGAGTCGTAGTCGAGCCGGGAACATCTCCCGAGCCCCTTGTTTTTTTCCTCTCACGTGTCGGGCAATAAATAACATAATGGTTTGATCGGGTTTTCGTTCGTAATTTTATTTTCCCCGTTTTCCTGCCCTAGTGGCCATGCGGTTGCACCGCTAAAAATGCATCTCCCCTTCCCCTCAAATTTCATGAAATAATTTTCTTTTTTTTCGTGTGTCTGGGGGATTTTCCCCCAGCGGAATTCTACTATGCGCCGTGCCGCCGAGGCTCATCGCCAGTGTTTTGGCCTCTCCACGTGCGTTCCGAGTGTTATGCTCGGCTTATGTTGCCCAGGGCCGTTACGCTTCCCGACAGGGCCCGCTGCCCTGAACTAGTAACCTCCGATATCGGCTGTCCTCGTTTTCTCCTTTTGGGAGGGAATTTTTGCCGCGATTCCAGGTTTGGGGTTATCGATTTCCTTCTTTTGGGATTGAAAATTTCGCCTAAGCAATGCAGATATTATGTGCCTCTCTCGCGCCTCCGCGTACAATACGCCCCTATTCCCGCGCCCTGGCGAGTTCTGTGCGCTATCGATAGGAATAATTTTCTGACTATCAGGCCGCGAAATGTCCTCTGCGCTAAATTAATTCCTCGTTATCACCGATACAGCTTGTGTCGACCCTGCGGATCAGCCGAGGATTTTCTTCCTCCCTTCGCTTTTGCTTTTTATCCCTGGTTTTCTTTTGTACCGCCCCAAATTCATTAGAAATAAATTTATCAATTTTGTTTAATGGCTCGAGTTTCGTTTTCCCTTCTTTTGTTTTAATTTAAGTTCCGATGCCCAGACCTCGTTTCCATCCCGACTCACCCCTCTCTCCACAACCTCACCCCTGAGCAGCGCGGAAATCACCACCTTTCCTCCGATCGTCTTTTCTGTTTTAATCTACGTTTCTGGTTTCGTTTCTGGGGAATTTGGTTCCGCTTTGATTTTAATCCGGTTTGTTGGTTCCGATTATTTAAAGATCAACTGGCGCCCATAATTTTATAAGATCGGGGGAAAAAGGGTGGATAACGTCCAGTTTTCCAGTTAGGGAAATTGGCCACGTTACAGTTATTCCTGAGAAGTTCCTTAAAATTGAAGGAATTCTCTATGGGCTGATTTGAAAGCTCACAAATCGACTCGAATCCAAAATCTGTGGTATCTGATTTTCCATCATTTTCCGCATTTTCCATGTGCTTATGGCGTTTTGAAAGTCAAATTACAATTTCCATGTTTTACCTAACCTTTCTATTCTGGTTCAATTTTTTTTACATATTCAGAGCCAATAAGTGAGAATATTGATATGCCATTTTGAAGAACATTCTATGCTCTTTAAAATGACCTCCGGTGTATCTTCTCTTTTAAATTATTACGGCCCTTTTCCCGCCCTTCATACCGATTCTGATCGGCCCTATCCTCACCATATGCGTGCGGCTGTGGATCCTATACCGTACCGCAGTTGCACCCCTACAGAACATACGAGTTGACATGGCGAACCACAGAAAAACTGTTGAACGTTCTCAACGGGGAATCGAACTTACAACCTTCATAACACAAGTTTCGCCCCTAACCACTGAGCTACCTACGTCGGTGTGTATCTGATTTAGATGCATTTTTAGATGGCTGTTACGTTTCAAAGGTGGCAACGGGATCTTTCCTATATTTTACTTTTATGAACAAATTCATCGAATACATGACCCAAAATAGCAAAAGGGACATAGGAATTGGAGAAAGAATTTGAACCGTCTCGTTTGTCGAATGTGGAATTTTGCTCAAGTTGAAAGTTTGAATAAATTTCTCTAATCTTTCTCATTGCTTTCACCACATAGTTTTTCCCAAAGAATTTCGTTTTTCAATTTCTCAAATCCCCATGTGAATTAGAAAAATTAACGAATACTAATTACTAAATACTAATGTTCCGTTGTCGGATCGGTTCAGAATGCACCCTGTTGTGATTGGCAATGGCCGTTGCATGACCAGAGACACCATAATAAAAGGCTACCGAATTCCAAAAGGCGTAAGTGGACGGATTATTAAGAAATATCATCATCTTATCGAAATAATTGACACAATTTAATAACTATGGAATATACACTTTATAGGTGCAAGTTATATTCCAACATTATGTCATTAGCAATCAAGAAAAATACTTTGCGAACAGCAATGAATTCTATCCAGAACGGTGGCTGCAGGAAAACACATCACGGCATGCATTTGCATCCTTACCATTTGGATATGGCAGACGAATGTGTCTTGGAAAACGATTTGCTGATCTTGAACTGGTCATGGTCATAAGCAAGGTATTTAATCAAATATTATAGATGCTTGCTCAATATTCTGCTGCCGAGAGAGAAAAATCTATGAATTTTTATATTATGATTCCGATAAAAATTACTGTGCTGCCTTACAATCTAGGTGTACACTGCAGGCCTGAGAAAAATTACTATGCCATGCAGTAACATTTCTTCATCGGCCGAGCAAAACTTCGTTATCGGCCAAATAAAAATTCATAGCCGTCGCAACAGTTACCATTGTTAAGGTTGTTGTCGCGTAGAATTTTTTTTCGACAGTTTTCGTTAACAATTTTATGGTGAATAGTTTGACAAATGAGCAACAAAATGAGCCTTTTCCATTTGCAATTGACCGTTTTGAACTTGAGATATAAATTTTTGAAATTCGAGTGATTTAACACGTGTTTAAATGGAGTTTTGCCGATTAGAATTTTTTT